TACCTTTATATATATATATATATAAAATATAATTAATCGCTTTGCTGTTTTTTTTTTTTTTTAATTCTGAACCTTCATCCTTTATCGAATCTGAATCTTATTCTATTATTATATTTTACTTTACCCCCTATGACAGGGTCAAACTCCTGTATTCCCTCGTATATTAGGTCACGAAGCTGGAGGGTATGTTCCTTCTCCTTCGTCTGTATTGCCTTTTGGTTATGAATCCCTTAGCTTAAAAACTAATATACATCTATGCATGGTGATATTATATTCAGGATCGTGGAGAGCATAGGGGAGGGAGTGACTCATCTGAAACCAGGAGATCATGCTCTCCCAGTATTCACAGGGGAATGCGGGGAGTGCCCGCACTGTAAGTCGGAAGAAAGCAACATGTGTGACCTTCTCAGGATCAACACGGACAGGGGTGTTATGATCGGTGACGGCAAATCCAGATTCTCCAAGAACGGACAGCCAATATATCATTTTGTGGGAACCTCCACATTCAGCGAGTACACTGTTGTGCATGCTGGTTGTGTTGCTAAGATTGACCCTGCTGCTCCACTTGACAAAGTTTGTATTCTCAGTTGCGGGATCTGCACAGGTTTTGCATCCTTGCCCTTCCATCACCATGTACATATATAATCTCTGGATGAAGTAGTAATACCTTTTGCTGATTGAATCCTTCATTCTTGTAGGTCTTGGTGCTACTGTAAATGTTGCAAAACCAAAACCTGGTTCCTCTGTTGCCGTCTTGGGCTTGGAGCTGTCGGACTGCTGTATGTTTCTACATCTACCCCTCTTTTTGTGTTAAGTTCAGTTTTTCTTTTTTTAGCAATTCATAAGTAAACAGCTACTTTAACCCCTTCTCTTCTTTTGTAATTTGAAATTTAGGCTGCTGAAGGGGCAAGGATTTCTGGTGCATCAAGAATTATTGGGGTTGATTTAGTTTCTAGCCGTTTTGAGCTAGGTACTACTCGTATAATTTATTGTATACAAAAAGGAATCAACAAGGCTAATTGAGTTGCTAAATATTTGCATATCGGTATTGATGGAAGGTATATCTTTCTATTGTTATTGGCAGCCAAGAAGTTTGGAGTTAATGAATTTGTGAACCCAAAAGATCATGACAAGCCCGTTCAGGAGGTTAGTGCACGCATAGAAAAACTAATTGATTTGATGAATAAATAGAATTGGATATCATATCAAAGTTGCCTAGCTTCAATTGTTAACAGGTGATAGCTGAAATGACTAACGGGGGAGTGGATCGTGCTGTCGAATGCACTGGGAGCATCCAGGCCATGATCTCAGCATTCGAATGTGTCCACGATGTACTTATTCAAAACTCGCTTGCTTGAAACTAGAAAGACGTTATGTTAATAACTGGATGAGCTACCTTCAATAGCAGAGCTAACAATGGAAATGGTTATTATGTGCAGGGTTGGGGTGTTGCGGTACTGGTTGGAGTGCCAAACAAGGATGACGCGTTTAAAACTCATCCGATGAATTTCTTGAACGAGAGGACTCTGAAGGGTACCTTCTATGGCAACTACAAGCCACGTTCTGATCTGCCTTCTGTCGTAGAGAAGTACATGAAAGGGTAAGCCTTCTTGTGGAATGAATTTTTTATTGTATTTTGCTTCTACGTTGATTCAATTATGTGTTCTAGTTTGTTCATGGGGTGGGATCTTACGATGAAACAATGAAATTACAGGGGCTGGAACTTGAGAAGTTCATCACTCATTCGGTCCCTTTCTCAGAGATCAATAAAGCCTTTGACTATATGCTCAAAGGGGAATCCATCAGGTGCATCATTCGCATGCAAGACTAGAACAATGCTGGGAGAATTGAGTTTTCCTTGTGATGATTGTGAAGAAGAATAACCCACCTTGTAATAATTAATGAATAAGATGCTTATGCGTACTTCGGTTGTGGCGTTGTTTACTTATAAATATAACTTATCATTTTCGTGCCTATGTGGTTTCTTGTTGATTAAAGGTCAATTTTTCAAAAATGCATTTAGTGAAAAAGCATTAGTTGTAATGAAATTTGTATGGATTATTTCATGTTCAACTCGCCTAAACTTTTAACCAAAAAAAGTAATTTTAATTACCCCAAAGGATATAAATTTTAAATTACATAAAGAGAAAAACATATATTTAGAATGCTTGCTTTAAGGCTCAATACATGTGGATATTTTATATACACTTAATTATTTTTTCAATGAAATTTTTTCTCAAACCTGAACTAATCTCTGTTACCATTATCTATTTCAAATTTTGTTCACCTTCAGTTATCTATTTCAACTATAATTTATCAATAATATTTATTTTCTCAAATGAATGTGGATAAACACTTATGATTTGTGTTTTTTAAAATGCCACACAGTGTACTGGGTCACACGGGGTCTAAATGAAATTTCTCGCGAGAGGGAGGAGTGGTTTTTGGGGAGATTCAAGCCGGAACTTCTTTTGTAAAAGTAATATGTGGTTAAAAATTATTATTTAATATTATTTCAAATATTATCTTTTTTGGCCGTATATTTCAAATATTATTGGATAAAGAGTTAAACATAATTTATTATTTTTTCTGGCAAAAAATAATTTATTATTTCAAACATAAAATTGTTAGAAGATGAATAAAAATTGTTGTCATGTGACAAAAGAAAGACCTAATCACTTAGACTTGCTCTGTTTTTTGATATTTCATATTTATCAATGGATTTTATGAATAAGCATTAAAGAATCTTATTTAATATTTTTAAGATCGCTAATAAGTATATTTTGTTGTGGAGAAAACTAATTCCCAACCCTTATAGTTTTACCTAGCTTTTAATTAGGTCCTTAATAATTTTTTTCTTTTTTACTATCTCCTTGTAGTTTTTCCCGTTACTTCCGTCGATCGAAGAAGAGATGATAGAAGTATATTCCGTCGATCAGGATAAGGTCGGCTCATCGTCTTCTCTCCTCCATTGTCTTTGAACTCGTGATCAAATGGACAAGGGATCAGGTTCTTCCTCCAAACACTGTCTTCTGACTCTTCAAATTCGCATTCTTCTCATTCTTCGAACACACTTTATGGGCACTCAAGCAAATGATCTCAGTACATCTATATTGCTCTGAGTTGATAGTTTCACTTATTCGGGATCATTTCTTGCTTCTTAATGAGATAAGGAAATTAGCTATTGTTTGAGAAAAATAATGCTCAAAGATTGTAATTAAGCTGAGGGTGTTCGACTCTTCGAATTTTAAAACCCATAGAAGGGCTTGCCTGGGACAATCGAAGTAAAAGGGACTTTTCCTTCCTCCTCCTCCCACGAAAAGTGTAAAATTTCTTAGTTTACAAAATAACAAATGCTTTTTAATCAGCTTGTTAATTGCCAAATATAAGTGATTCAAAAACCAACAAGTGCAGAATAATTTTGCATTTCATTAAATTAGTGACAATGGAAGGAAAGGGAAAAAGAAAAAAAAGAAAAATAGTGATAGAAACAGGGACGAAAAGAGACTGCAACTTATCAAATGGCATTCAAAATAGTAGAATGTGTATTTGTCAAAGTGAATTGCAACTTATCAATTAATAACATTTAAAAGTATTGAAGAACAAATACACGAAGTATGCGTTGGCCCTGATAAACGATTTTGGAGGAGAGGGATAAACGGAACTAATGGGAAAAAAACTACAAGGATCTACTTAAAAAAAAAAAAGAACTTTAAGGACCTGATTAAAAATTAGGTAAAACTATAAGAACAGTGAATTAGTTTTTCCTTTGTTTTTAACATGATTGTTATTATTTTATTTACTTGAATAACTAAATTTCAAAAAATAATTTTCACATTTTAATTGACTTGTAATAGATATAATATGAGATTAAAGATTATTTTAACCCCTCAATTTTACCAAAAAAGTTATTAAGCACCTAAACTTAGTCAATTGTGTCCCTCAAACGAAAAAATTTCGATTCCTTCTAGTGTTAATTTTCTATTAGTGGGGCTATTTTTTTTTTTTTTTGGTTTTTGAGTTGGCTTTTTCAATTATAAAATATAATGATGGACTCACTCAATATTTTTTATATTTTTTATTATATCCTTTCACACCTCACTAGCCAACTCTATCTTACACCCCTCATTCCCTCTCCTCACTCTCTCTCCTCTCCTCGACAACACAGACTACGTCTTTCGTGTCAATACGCTCAACTGACTCATCTTGATCATGGCACTGGCAAACTTGTCAAAAAGCCAATTTCTGGTTTTAGAGAAGCTAACAACGATGTTCTTGGTTCTAGGATCGGTGAACAGGTCCTACTCGGGGAAGAGGCCTTGCCAGTTCATGAGGTCGACGTAGTACTGGTTGTCGAAGATGTTGGGAGTTTGAACATCGACATTGGCAGTGTTGGGGGAGGAGGTGGCGGGGCATGTGGACTTCAGGGCAGCGGTGAAGGAAGGGTCAAAGGTAGGTGAGCTTTCACTCTCTATTTGGTTCTGTTTTTTGAATAGAAAACAGAGGTGGAACGTACGTGAAGATGTTTTTGTGGTCAGATATTGATGAACGTGTCATCAGGCTCCAACTATCCCCAACTATATATCCATATTCATTAATTTAAAATGTTTTATCCATCTTAATTAGTCATCTTCCATGCAATGCGTAGGATTGAGTCTGCTAATACGTTGTGACAAACTGCAAATGCTTGTATTGTAAAAAGAGGTAAAGATCATTTCCTTTATGCATTTTCTAATAAACAACGTTGATAGTTAAAGTCCCAAAAGTATGAAGATGTTTTTTTTTCCTAAATTATAAATCTGACAAGTAGATTCAATTAGATTTAGTTAGATCTGACAATTAGTCTTCATCAACGCCGATAGTGGTGACTACGTTAATCATGTGGACATGGTTTCGCTCACTTCATCCACCCATGGAGCGCTCAAGTTGGACGGTGAGCAACCCGTAGCGGAGAGCGGAGTGCGTTGTAGATTTTAAGAGGCTTGAGAAATCTCCTCGCGAAAACCCAGAGGTAATGAACGCCCTTCGCGGCTTTATTGCTTCGGACACAAGAAGTCCGCTCAAGTTATTGAATCAATTTGGTGTTTACAGAAATTCAACGAACGGGTTATCTTCAAAAGGAAAAGGCTCTTAGGTGGGTTCTCGTTTTCTCTCCATTGGTTTTCGTGCTACTAGGTTTTGTACTCATGGAACCTTGCTTCCAACGGAAGCAACCGCCGGATCGCCCTCCTGGTGATCCTGAAGGTGAAGCAAGTGAGCCAAAGAAGGTGAAGGCCACTAGATCAGACTTTTCGGATCCAATGTTGCCGGAAAGCAATGAAAGGCTACATAATGAAATGGAAGCCAGAACTGGTGAAACTTCAAAGACAATGGAAACTGAGGAAGGGATCATAAAGACTCAAGATATGGATACAGATGAAAGAACAACATGCTTGCAAAAGGTACCAACTATGCCTTACAAAGTATGGCTTAGGGTTTTAATGGAGTGGCAAATGGTGATGTGGTTATGGAAGTAGATGATCTGACGCAAGAAGGAGACGAAATACCATGGAAACTACCCAAACCGTCTAAGGAAATAAAAGAACTCATGAAACTCTATCCTATGATTCTAATGACTGAGGAGGAATTGCAAGATTGGAGTAGACCCTGGAACCAAGCTCTAGTTTTGACGGTACTAGGGAAACGTCTGCGTATGAGTGATCTCAAAAATGGCTGAGCAGGATTTATGGGATTCCAGACTTTGAACTCATTGATCTCTACAATAACTATTATGTTGTCCGATTTACTAATTTACAGCAAAAGAAAGCTCAGTACAAACGAGTTCTTTTTGAGGGACCATGGGTAGTGATGCAACATTGTGTTCTCGTCCAACGATGGTCTCCCTACTTTGATCCTTTCAACAATCCTCTAGGTTGAATTGCTATATGGGTTAGGATTCCAAATATCCCTATGCATTGCTACAGCAACAATTTCATATGTTGACCGGGTGAAAGAATAGGAAGACACATTAAAGTTGATATGTGCACTTTGTCGAATATCGCCACGACCAATCCAACAACAGAAAGGGGGAGATATGCTCGCATTTGTGTGGAACTTAATTTACAGAAAAAGTTAGTTCCTAAGGTAATTGCAGCTTGTTCAGTCTTTAATGTAGAATGTGAGGGATTGAGACTCATCTGTTTCAATTGTGGCTGATTCGGCCACCGTCAGAAAGAATGTCCGTGGATTATGAAAGATTAGCAAGAACATGGGAAACGGGTAGGAACGCACGCACAGTCTAGCTGCTGTAATGGAGAAATCCCAGACGGAGGTGCGCCATTCCGGCAATGATACTGTCGAAGGGACAGGTGGAGTTTAGCCCCAGGAACACTTGGACAAGTCGCACCATCAAATATCAAGGCAACTTCCAACTCGCACTACCCAAGGTAGACAGGGGAGATGCCATGCTAGTACGAGATGTGTTGGAAGTCAAATATCTCAATCTAGATTTAGCACGTTAGCTGATGAAGATGATCAAGGTGGCTTGGACGAGGAGCCTTCTATACCTGTGAACAAGAGGGAAAATAAAGAGGAGAGAGAAAAGATGTGTCAAATCTATTTTGAGTCTATGGGAAGTCCTGTCATAATGGATACTAGAGGTGGATACCAGAGCAAGTCACATGAAAAGACCCCAGCTAAAGGAAGTGGGAAAGGAAAAAATAATGGAAAGGAAACAAAATACCACAGACTGGACCAAATCACAAAAGTGGGAAAGGAGTCCAAGAATTTCAACAAAAAGGAAATAGTATTTCAAGCCTAAAGCAAAGGTCCCACCGTGTGGTGTAAGGCAATACATTGGACTTGGGCCAAGGAAAATCACAATGGGACAACCATCTTTGAGTCAAGGGAAAAATCACACAGGGGATGCACCTGAAAAAAGAGACTGACTGCAGAACGGAATTCTATCGGGAGAGATAGATGACAGGGCAATTGTTCCGTACAATGATGGGAAATGCACAGAACCATCGGACCCATCTTGGTGGAGTCTACCATCGACAGAAACCCAGAAGATTACTGGATCAGAGACACAAGTTGTCTAGAATGAGAAAAGCTCTTCGCAGAAGCAGGATATGCAAGTCTAGCTTCGAGACAGTACTCTCATTAGCTCTCTATTTTTTTTTTCTCCATGATAGTTGCAAGTTGGAATTGTAGAGAGGCAGGTGGTCACACTTTTCCCAATCTAATCAAAGAAATTGTTAGAAAATATAGTATTGATGTGCTCTGTCTCTTAGAACCTTGTATTAGTGGTGAAAGAGCTGATAAAGCGGTTAGGAATTTTGGTTTAACAAATTGGATACTTGCGGAAGCCTCAAGGTATGCAGGGGGAATTTGGGTTCTTTGGAATGTTCATCAAGTCAAAGTTGAATATGTGCAATTGCAAGGCAAAATGGATATGATAACACTTGTGTTGACAACAAGGGTACTATTGTCTTCTGTGGAATTTGTGCAATTGCAATCTTTATCGTACTTTCATCCTTCTTATACAATGCCTGTGAGGCTAGCAATAATAATCTGAGTTATTTTGTTCAATAAACATGGCCATCTCTCAGCTGGGTATTGCAAAACGAATCTCTTATGAGAAAGTAAACGCAAGACACATTGTTCTGGTTATGGCAGTGAAGTAATCGTACCTAACTTGTTCTCCAAATGGATGATTTTCACTTCCCAACAACCGGTCGGACAGAATTCAAGCATAATTGAGTTAGAGCTCTCTTAACAATATAATTGTAGCTATATTGTAGAACAGGGGATCTTGACCTCCTTGTACTTGCTTTAGAACATGCATAAGGTATTGCTGTTAAATCTCCAATTAACATGCATTATTTTAGATGAAAGATCAAGGAAAGTATGGTGCCGACTTACCGTTGCCTAAAAGATTCCTCTGTGAGGATCAAAGGGGTCGCCAGAAAAATAGTTGCGGCAACTACCTTTTCAGCTTAGTCCTTGCCTTTTTAGTATGTGTTTGAATTTCAATTAAAAAAATGATTATAAAAAAATTGATCATGAATATGTGATAATGTTTGGATAAATTTTTAAAAATTAATTTTAATAAATTAAATATGTTTAGATAATTTTTTTTGAAAAATAATTTTAAATATACAAATAAATGATACATAGAAAAGGAGTCAAATAGGGAAAATTTCAGTTTCTCTAAAATAAAGTTTTTCAAGTCAAATGAAGTTTTGTAAAATGAAAGTGTTTAAATAAATTTTTGCAAAATTATAATTTTGATCCCAGAATTGATTCTCAATGAATATCCAAACAAGCCCTTATAAGAAATTAAAAATGAAATATTTTTCCTCCTTCATCTTTAATTCCCTTTATATTAGATAGTGTAGTTGTATCACTTTAAATTTTAAGTACTCTTGCAAGTACAAAGTTCACAGCTTATAATTTCAGATTATGAGAACTATGAGAGTTTATTTGTGCTCCATCTAATCCTATTTACAAGTCATAGTTTAAAAGATCTATTTGATCCTATTTATAAGTCACAATATATCATTTTAGATAATATTTAAAAAGTATTTTTAAAATTACTGTGCATGAGAGAGAGAAAGTAACATGATATTACTCTTTAAATTTATTATATAGGAACATATTTAAAATTTTATACACTTTAATTCCTTATATTTTTTTTATATTGATATTGATGAGGTGGTAGAAATAATTTATAAAGATTATAGGAAGAGTATCTATTTAAAGATGAGACAAGACAAATTAAAAATGGAAAAAGGTGTGGCAATTTAACTTTGATTTCACCGAACCTAGTCTTTTAACCCTCTAAGTTTGATATTGGTGGATTAAGTTGAAGTTTTTTTTTCAAGGAAAAAAATTATTAGTTTATAAAAAATGATAAAGTAAATAAAAATGCTATACAAAGAAAACTTTATCCAACATTTTAGAGGATTATGAATCCTATTAAAAAAAAAAGCCTATTTATGCAAGCCCGGATAAACACTTCAATTGTCAATTTTTTTTTTTCTTAAAAATAATAATCATTTTTGTTATTATAAAAAATATAAAATAATTTTTTGGGAACACTTTTTTTCTTAGAAGCTATTTGGAATACTTAAAAAATGTATAATGATTAATTTTTTAAAAAAATTGTGGCTCTTAAGTTTTAAAAATCAAGATTTAAAATATATTTTAAATTAAATATTATTGTAAGATATTTTATAGATTAAAAATAATAAAATTATAACAATATTAACTTTTTAAGAAAATATCTCTATTAATTTACTCAAATATATGGTTTCTTATCATAAAATGAACTAATGGCATGTTTGAATCAATGAAGATTTGAATTTAAATTTGAATCAAATCTCTCATGTGAGTATACAAATTTATGAATTTGGACTTCAAATCCATTTCAAATTATAATTCTTTTATAATTTTAAATTTGATTTAGATCTTAGTCGTTTGTAATTATAATTACTTCAAACATCTTATTATATTTGCCTTTTCACCATTAATATTTCTATAACTCTCATATATTTTTTTTATCTTTTGTCAATTTAAAATTATAAATAATCTCATCATTTTAATCTTTCATTTTTGTTTTGAATTTCAATTCATCCCTTTCTTCATTTAAAATTTTTAAAACTAATTCATCAATCCAAACACTAACTAAAACTTAAAAATTAATTTTTAAAATTTTTAAATGTATAAATTTTAAATGTGAGATGTAGAATGTAAGATTTAAAATTTGAAATCCAAAACCTAATTCATCAATCCAAACACTAACTAAAACTTAAAAATTAATTAATACATATTATATTTTATATATTTCTTTGAAATCAGATATCTTTAGTTTTATCCTAAGCTATTTAAGATGTTCTAAATGTTAATTGTTCGAATAAAGCATTTCCTTCTAAACAGAGATCAGATATAAATGAAAAGAATGAAGGAATTTAAAGAGTTGATTGCAAAATTCTCGAATTTGATTTTTGGAAATTTAATCACACAATCAAATCGAAGTCAAATATCACCATCAGAGATAAAATGTTGAAATCTATTAGACCGGAGGCATCGAAATCAAGTGGAAAAAGTCAGGGCTAAAAAATTAAAGCCTTGTTAATAAAAAAGTTACCAGAAGTAAAAAAAAAAAATAAAGCTGAACTTGGGCAGAAGTGGCTCTATGTTTCAAGTTTGCTGTTAAAAATTAAATTGTTCCTTAGTACGTGACAATGAGTCAATAATTTATTCCTAAAGGTGGCCACCGCAGTCCGCAAGCTGCTGCTGATTCTGTTTTTCACATGAGAACCGAAACTAGAATCTAAGACATGTTTGGCAACTGTTTTGAAAATAATTTTTTATTCTTTAAAACAAAAAAATAATTATTTGATAAGGTGTTTTGAAAAAGTATTTTAGAAAACAAAAGAATAAAATATTATATTAAAAAATAAAAAAACAAAAACATCTTTTAGGTGTTTTAAACTTATTGTTTTGGAAAACAAGTGAAGATGAAAAAAAAAAAAACACTCATTTTTTTTATTTTTTATTTTCAAAATATGTTATGTAAAACACAAGTTTTTCAAATAATAAAACAAAAATAATTTTAAACAAACCCATATTCTTGTGAGATGAGGAACCTTTTCTACATCTTCATACGTCATCAATAAATAATGCCATGTATCGAAAACTCTATCCCCCCACAATTTATGTGAAACTCTACACAAAGCAATGAATTTACATATTGATTTTATATTTTTATTTAAACACAGTTTTGTGACTTTAAATTCAAAAATTACAGTTTTTATCAAATTACTTCGCAGTTGACACATGAAAAAAAAATAAATTTTGATCCAACTTGATAGAATTACGCACGTGACGCAGCGAACAGAGGGTTTATTGGTGGGGGATATTACAGACAGAATAGAATCCTTGAATGCAGTTATGGGAAACCCATGTGGTTTCAATCGTGGCTTGTTGGCTTGCGTTGAAGCTCGTGATGGTGGTGTTCGATCCCAGAAGTATTTCCCACATCAGGGTCATGGCCACTAGCGTTGACCTGATCACTAGCCCCTGATGATTCCGCATGTAAACCGTCAACAAGCCTCTCTTTCTTCTTCATTTCAGCGTCGATGTGCACATCATCCTCCACCGTCACCACCACGACCTTCTGTCCGAAAGGACCGGACGCAATTTCTTCCTTGACCTTTTTATGCTCATCAACATGAACGATGTCCATTTCTTCAGGCGCCTTCTTCTTCCTCCTCTTAATAAAGCAAAACATAGCAAAAGCCAGCAAAGAAAGGAAGAGGAGGCCGCCCAATGAAACGAAGACAATTACAATCACTGTAGGATGACTTGGAGCAGGCGAGGGAGGAACAGGGGCCGGGGGTGGCCGCACATGCGGCGGAGGGGGAGCATTTGGGTGAGATGGTGGAGGCGCCGGACGCACAGGGGGAGGCGGCCGCGGAAGCACATGAGGAGGCGGTGGTGGAGAAAATGGACGAATCGGCGGGGGAGGTGGAGGAGGAGATGAACGGGGCGGTGGGGGTGGGGGATGGAAGGGATGAAAAGGTGGTGGAGGGAAGAAAGGGAAGTTGAAGCTGTTCGGCTGGGGGAAGGCCATGTTGGATCTTACGTTAATTACTGGATGTTTGTTCTATAACGTCGTAAGAAACGTGGTGGCTCAGGGGCCCTTTTGTAGGCCGCATTTAGAAATATTTTGATTTGATTAGCATTTCTGCGAGTTTTTAGTGACTTGACACTCATTCTAAGTTTTAGATGTTTGCAGTGGAAAACACTTCTTGGCTATAGTTCCTTCGCTTCTGAAACTTGTTCCTCCTCTTCTTTAAGGCATTGAGGCGTAAGCTTAATTTTTTTAATAAAATATATGAAAACAAAAAGGAATGTGAACAACCCTTGCCATCAACTTCGACCACTCAGTATGCAAGTTGTCTTCAGTTTAGAGTCATTTTTCATATTTAAGTCTCCGTGGTTCTTGCTCGGAAAGCAACTCGCTGTTTTCGATGCAGCAGTGCTGGAGTCGGAGGAGTTATAGCTAGTTTTCCTTTCTTTCCTTTTTTCCCCCTCGCTTTCGTCTCTTTTCTTTTCTGTTTTACCAATTGTTGCAAGTTATATATTAAAAGAAGTTGACATGTTCTTTATATGCTCTGGAAATTGCAGTTCGTCCAAACATTGGTCTAAGAAACCCCAGTTTACTCGATCATATGCCTTTTCAAGATCAATTTTGATTGCCATAAACCCGCGCTTCCCTCGCATATTCCTCATAGAATGGATAACTTCTTGGACCACGATAATGTTGTCTGAACTATGTCGTCCTGGAACAAAACTACATTGATAAGGAGAAATGATGTTAGGGAAAAGAGGCTTCAGCCGCGTTGTGATAATCTTCGTAATAACCTTAAACACCACATTGCATAGACTAATAGGCCTAAGATCTTTCAGGCTCTCTGGTGGATGTGTCTTAGGAATAAGAACAATCAAAGTAGAATTGATTGTGCTGATAGCTTGCGGGTTGAGGAACAACGATTTCACAAATTGCGTCACATAGGTACCCGCATGCTTCCATTGACTCTGAAAGAAGATTGCTCCTAAACCATCTGGTCCTGGAGCCTTCAAAGCTCCCATACTATCAATAGCATCTTTGACTTCAATATCATTTACCTCCTTGCCAAGGTCGGCTAGAAAATCATTACCAATAGAGGGGAACTTTCTATAACATTCGAGCCTTGGTCTCCAATCGTCTTCTTCTGTGAAGAGTTTAGATAGGAATTCCGTAGCCATCACTTTGATTTGGTCTTCATCATAAACCCATTCTCCTTCATTGTCACGGATAGCATGCACTCGATTGGCTTTGCATCTCCCATTAGCAACACTATGAAAATAGTAGGTATTCTTGTCACCGTGAAGAATCCAGTTAACTTTGGCTTTTTGAGCCCAAATAATGTATTCTTGAAGCATCACCTCTCCTAACTCAGACCAAAGTTGACATTGGAGTTTTGTCAAGATGCTCTGATTTTTTACCATTAGTAAGGGCTTGTGTGATACCATCCAAGCGGCGAATTAGCTTTCTTTTGCGGGTCTCGGTATGGCCAAACACTTCTCTGTTCCACCTTATACAGTCAGCACTGAATGATTTGACTTGAGTTACCCAATCACAATTATTCTTCCATGCATTTGTAATGAAATCTTCAAAACCGTCATGGAGGACCCAAGCAGCAATGAACCGAAATGGTCTATGACGGCTAGTTTTGTCTTTACGATCTAATTGGATCAGGAGTGGCCTGTGATCAGACTTAAACCAAGGGAGGTGTGTAACCGTGGCATTTAAAAAAAGTTCTAGCCAGCTATCGTTAGCAAGAGCACGATCAATACGACTCTCAACATTATTTTGTTTCCAAGTGAACATGGGTCTAAAGAAGCCTACATCATTGAGTTCAGCTTGTTCAAACCATGTTCGAAAGTCTCGATTCACTCCAGTTCTATGCCTGGCCATTGTTTGTCTCTCATCATGAAATAAAGTGGTGTTAAAATCTCCAACCACACTCCATGCTCCTCTGATAGTCGCACCAATCTGACGTAACTCATGCCATAAGCAGCGTCTCATATTTATGTTTGGACTAGCGTATACTATCGTAAGCCACCACTTCTCTTTCTTATGATTCTCAACAGTCAAATGAATAAATTGAGTCCTTTTCTCAATGATAGAAACCTGAACTACATTTGCATCCCAGAGCACCCAGATTCCTCCACTGTACCCAGTCGCATCAATCCAGTCAAACTCATTAAAGCCTAGCTTCTTTGCAATCTTTTTAGCCTTGTCGCCACTGCATCGAGTTTCAAGCAAAGCTAAGAGATTAATCTGATAATTTTGCTTCATTTCACGGATAAGATTAGGAAACATTTTTGAGCCCGTCCCTCGCGAATTCCAGACGACGTAATTCATGAGAAAATTATTGATTGTTGGAGTCACGTGACTCCATATTAGCATCCATATCCTTATTCTGATAGCTAGTTCCTTCATCATTTCGAATTTCCAATGCCTCAACACAGTTGTCAGAAAAATGCTCAATTTGGTCAACCCCCATGTTCACTTCCTCAACTCCTTGTACGATACTAGTATCTTGGCCTTGGTCATTCTTTATTAGGCCAGGAGTATTTCATTCACATGTTATTAACGGGCTGGGCCCACTCTCAAAAATAGCAAAGGAATTCCTTGTAGCAATCTTTAATGTGTCCAATCCAGCAGCATTATCCAGATTGTTATTTCTTCCTCTTTTCCCCATAAATGGAGGCACCTTCTCTTTCCCACGTGATTTGCTTTTAGCCTTTCCCTTCCTTTTATCTCCTACACGGGCCCACTCCTCATTATTATTATTTACACTTAAATTCCCATGATTCCTTTGTTGGCTTCCCGTGAACTCCTCAATTATAGCCTTTTTCTTTTTCTCTTCTATCCCACCATTAATATCCTTCAATAACCCAGATTTTCCTCCCATAATTTTTCCATCAGAGATGATATTGCGCCTAGAATCTCCACCATATCCGTATCCCCGAAATTGGCGCTTAACTAGCATCTCAGGCCTGTAACCGTTAGCCATCATCGGTAACTTTATCTTCTCAACCGGAATATTCTTCTCCGCCACAGGAACCTCCTTCTTCGCCGTCGAATTCTCCATAGCCACCTCCTGCTTGCCTGTATTAGGATCTGTGATATCTACGTATTCACTATTCCCAGTGTTTTTGTCATTCCTCGACATATCCGGATCGGGTTGTCTTTCCTTCTTGTGCAGCTCGCACTTTTCAGATGTATGACCATACATTCCACAGCAAAAACACACCAAATGTAACCCTTCATAAACAATTCTGAGATCCTCTCTGAAAGCCGTGAAGAATGGAAGAAGCTGTTCCCCAAGGTCAAGTTCCACGCACATACGAGCAAAACCTCCCTTATCATAAATAGATGTAGACCTGTCAATCTTCAGGGTTCTGCCGATCATGTTCCCAATGCGTCGAAGTGATTCAACACTATAGAATTCCACTGGCAGGTCTGGAATGCGTATCCATGCCGCAATTTTGCGTGTTTTGTCAGCCTTCCAGGGGTTAAAGTTGGGTCTCCATCTTTGAACCAGTAAGTAGTGATCATCTATCATCCATGGCCCCTCCTGATAAGCAAAATCAAGATCTTCTCGACTTGTGAATGAGACTATGTAGTACCCGTTGCTAAGCCCCATTACTTTGATGGGCTCCTGTGTCCTCCACATCCTAGGTAACCATCCTCGCAGTCTGGCCATCGAAATCTCATGGCCTAGAAGTTTCACAATGAGCGAGTTCATCCATAGTCTGCACCATGCTTCATATTCCTCGGGTGTGAACTGTAAGACATGCCATTTTGATTCCTTCATCCCCCCACCTATCTCTTCATCCTCTGAGTTTTCTTTTCCACCATCAGCCGAACTAGCGTTCATAATCTTAAAGTAGTTCTTCCATCCGTGCATGATGTCTTCATTTGCATGATTCTGAGATAAAAAGCCTGAAGAGTTTATACTCATAAGAGATTCCTTATATGATAAACGTCCTCTTGTTGGTGGCTTACTCTGACCCACGTCGGACTTTTGCCTTCCTCCAGCTTGGAAAACAAAATTTTCTTTCTGTCGTCCCTCCTTGCCTATATTCTTACCCTCACCCCCACCATCTGGGGGCCGTCCTTCGGCACCACCTCCACCGTCAAGCACTCCTTTCCCCTTTGGCTCCTTTACGCTCATTGTTTTCGTCGTTTGTTAACTATTCAGCCGTTATGAATTGTGTTACATCGGCATCCATGCAACTGATCTGGAATGGAAACAAAGCGGACAACTTTAAGCCTACAAGGGGGGTTCGTCAAGGGGACCCACTATCACCATACCTGTTTGTGATCTGCCTTGAGAAATTAGGCCACCTGATTCTAGAAAAAATGGAGGAGGGAATATGGAAGCCTATCAGATTAGGCAAAACTGGACCTCCCTTGTCGCATCTGTGTTTCGCTGATGATATCATTATTTTTGCAGAAGCTTCCATCCAACAAGCTGATGTTATACACGAGTGTTTGGGGAAGTTTTGTGCCAGCTCTGGAATGAAAATCAATGCTATGAAAACTAAGATGTTTTTCTCTGAAAATGTGCATCATGTTCGACGTGAAGAAATTAGCACTAAACTCGGTTTTAGTAGGACTGGTGACCTTGGTCGCTATCTGGGTGTGCCTCTTCTGCATAAAAGGGTGGATAAAAACACATTCAAAGACACTGTAGATAAAGTGAAGAAGCGTCTATCTAACTGGAAAGCATCTACTCTCTCCCTAGCTGGGCGTGCGACACTGATAGCCTCAGTCACGAACGCTATCCCTGGATATGTTATGCAAACATGTAATCTTCCCGCTAGTACTCTTGAAACACTTGACAAGTCCAACCGTGACTTTTTATGGGGCCACACAGAGAGTTCAAGGAAAACACATTTAGTGGCATGGAAAGATGTTTGCAGACCAAAACAAGAAGGAAGGCTAGGTCTTCGACGAGCGTCTATCCAGAACCAAGCTTATGCTATGAAGATCGGTTGGGGCTTGATTAAGAA